GGGGGTATGGAATATGGAAGGAGTGGAGAGAATGAGAAAACCAGAGGTGGTCTCGAGGTTTAAGGGGAGGTGATGATTTTCTTGGCTGCGTGTGCTCTCAGTCTCCTCCCCTGTGACATAACAGAACAATGTACTCCAAAGGCTTTAAATATCTTTACCCTGACCTCATGTTTCTTGCTACGCTCACACACATATATACACAAGAGCCTGGAAAGCGTGGATGTTAAACTGTCTGCCTTGGATTACTGAAGTATCTTCCCCACCTTTTTATTTTCTCCCCTTGTGGTTTTTCTCCTGTACTCCATTGGCGGTGTCGGTGCAGGTGTCTGTTAGTTCAGTGCAGTGCAGCAGAGCCCCTAATAAAGATGGCTGGGGCCAACAGGATTGTGTCGCAGTCCAGCACCCACCCTGGCAGTCTCTCTAATGTTCTTTCAAACCACTGTGACGGTCAGTTGGGTTTATGTGCAGTCACAATAAATATTTTATAACATGAAATGAAAACAGTATTTTGCCCTTTTCATCCCTCACCTCAGCACTAGTGTCAGTCTCTACCATTTTCTCCCCACACCTTCCCCCCCTGCTGTTTTTTTCCCTTCCCTCTGTGTGTTTTCATTGACTCACCCTGTGGAAAGGCTCTCTTCTCACCTCAGCGCTGCCACTTGCTGGCCAGCTGAAGGATTAAAAGAGATTTGCTGACTTGCATTTTATCAAAGAGCCAGTGGGTGGCAGCACATAAAGGCATAGAAAACTTGATACTGTACATGTGCATCAAAAAGCTTTATAAAGCCCTGGTAGTGTGTTAAATACATAATGGCTCATTAGAGTATTATCATTAAGTGAAGTGAAATCAAGGCAAAGGATTGCTTTGCACAAGGCATAGGTTGAACACTCATCCATTCCCCGCATGGTTCCTCTCACTCCATACTTCCTCCAGCGACGGCCATCCCACTGTTTACTTTATTAAGGCTCTAAATGCCCCACAATCCGTTTTTAATTGACTTGGTCTCTCTGCGTGCGTCTTGGCATCAGCCTGTGTGAGCCATAAACGGTGCATCTGCACGGCTTCGTTCTTTGCCAAAAGGCCAATTTGTGACGTCGTAATCAAACAGAACGATGTCTGTTTATCTTAGCGTGGGATCTTTTTAGTCTCCTGCTCACTCACTTTGTGTCTCTCTGTGTTGCAGAGTAAACGGGACCATCTGCTGATGAATGTGAAATGGTACTACCGCCAGTCAGAGGTGCCTGACTCCGTCTACCAGCACCTGGTGCAGGATCGCAACAATGAGAACGGTGAGGCCGCCGATTGATCGTTTAAACACACCTGCACATGTGCACATGTACAGAACGTGCACGCAAGAGAGTAAATCCATTTAATTTTCTGTGCTGTTCCTCCTCTACAAACACACACACCTGGCTCTGCTCTCCGCGCTGTGTCCCTGGCAGCCGAGCCAATACCGTGGCTCTGTGCTGGTTCCCTGGGTAACACTGCTTCAGGCCAGACAGCAGCACAGTGGAGTGTTAATAACCCGCAGTGTCATGTGGCCCTTCAGTGTACACGCTCTCAACCCAGTCAGTGCCAGTGGACTCATCACACTCTCAGCACATTCACATCTACAGGAACACGAGCCTGCCAGTGATCTGCAGCCACTGAATATCAAATCCTCAGAGAAATTTAACATTGTTGGAGTAATGGGTGTCCTCGCAGCACTCTAGTGCATTGTTTTTAGATTTTTATTAGTATTTTTTAAAAACATATTTTTAATTAATGAAGCCATCAATCATACATGCAAATCTTTGAACGGACTGCAACAGGTAAATGAGTAATTGTTTAGTTATATCACTAAACCAATATCATATCATCCTTTTGGATTCAGAGTCAAAACCAAAGCTAGTTCAAAACAAGTCGCCTCAAGGAGCTTTATACTATAAGGTAAAGACCCTGCAGTATTAGAACACCCAAACATCAGATGACCTCGCCCTGTGAGTAAGCACTAGGTGATGATTGGAAGAAAAAACCTCCCTTTGAATAGGAAGAAACTTCCAGCAGACCAGGCTCAGAGAGGCTCCTCTGCTGCAACCGGTTACGGGGTGACGGGAAAAGGAAAAAGGAGGGCATAGAGAGAAAGGATAAAAAACAAGCCAAAGGAGAGAGAAGGTGAAATTCAGACAGCTTGAAAGTGCTTATCAATACATTTATCAACACAAACTCTTACTGTATGCTCAACTGTTTATCCAAACTTTAAGCAAATTCAACTGGTAAACAAAATGATGAGCTCACGAGTTCAGTTGTCAGCCTTACTGTTTTGAAATGTAATAATTTATAACAGCTTAGTCCTTAGTTGTTCATCTAGAGCAGGGGTGTCAAACTACAGGCCTCGAGGGCCGGTGTCCTGCAGGTTTTAGATCTCACCCTGGGTCAACACACCTGAATCAAGTGATCAGTTCATTACCAGGCCTCAGGAGAACTTCAAGACATGTTGAGGAGGTAATTTAGACATTTAAATCAGCTGTGTTGGTTCAAGGACACATCTAAAACCTGCAGGACACCGGCCCTCGAGGCCTGGAGTTCGACACCTGTGATCTAGAGTGTTTAGCTAGCAACTTAATACATTTGTCTGTTACTATTAGCTAAACATAAGCTACTTATCCATAATGTAAAGTAAATCAGCTATTAGCCATAGTTTTAGCTCCGTATTTCGTCCACGGTTCCACACTATTACTATTCTAATCATTCCCACATTTCTTTGGGGCTTTTTATTTTTTATTGGTTTATTATTTTTACTTAAATTTTTTTTTCAGTTGAAACATGTTCAAACCCACTCAGTAGTTTAAGTGTAATTAAAGAAACTAGCTGACCTATTCTCCATGTACCCCATGGCTATATATATCTGTGTTCTCTGTGTTCTTTGACTGTCAGAATTGAAAATGTCAACTACTCTACTTGGTTTTATTGCAGCAAGAACTCTGTGTCCTATAAACATGGTTGAAGTTAAATTAGTTTTGTAGTTAAGTGTTACTCGGTGTTCTGAACACTTTGTCGTTGCACACAAGTTTAATTGTAGCCTTTTAAATGTGCGTGTTCCCGGAAATGTTTCTCAGCCTGATTATAAACTGCAATTTTCTCTTCAAACTGAGATAAAATAACACACCTCACCTGTTGACACATCCTGTTCACAGTTGGCAGTTCTTGTTAGCCGGAGTGCCCCCAGTGGCTCGGCTTTTCTTTGCCTCACAGTACAATCATCTCTACCTTTACACGCTGTAAAAACAGCCTCCTAACCAAACAAAAAATCCAGATAGGATCAGGGTTGCAGCTAAGTACGGTGTTGTGCCATTTTCTTTTTCTACGATAATACAAGGATTGTGCCACACAGTGCTATACTATCAGCAGTCTGTCCTGGCAGCAGGGACTTGGACTATTAGAATTGATGTCACAAGGCCGGAGCTCACTGGCCACAGCTCAGGTCATTTGTCAAAGACAAGTCCCAACTTCCTCTTGTTGCCAGTGATGCATCGTAACTACCATGGGGGTCATTTCACTCGAGAACTGAACATTATGCTCTCTTCTGAAGGGATAGCATATTACTGGCTTTATTGAATTGAACTATTTATTGAATTATGGCGCAATATTCCACAGAGGTGCTTGTTACTGTGGGTAAACACAGAATTGTGCTGATACTTTTGTGATTTACAGAGCTACTTTATCTCAAATCATTATTTTTGTCACAGATTATGTATATGATGTAGACTGACCACAGGCACTATTCCCTCCTGCAGACTCTGGCCGGGAGCTGGTCATCACAGATCCAGTGGTCAGGAGTCGAGAACTCTTTATCTCGGACTACGTGGACACTTATCATGCTGCTGCTCTCAGGTAAACAAACCCACACACGAGCAAACAAAACTGCACATAAAGACTGGAAGCTTTCTAAACAGTGCTACAGAAAAATGGAATACTTTCAGCACAGGCTTCACAGGTTTTTTTCTACACCGAGATTTCTGCTTCTAGAGCTCTAGTAACATCTAGGCTATTACAGTATTTGAATTTATAACAGTGTCACTGGAACAGCTTTTATTTGTGGATTTTGGTGCCTTTGTATACAAATTACAGAACTGTCATTCAACTTTCGTGGCACCTTCTGCTATGATTTTGTGTTTCTGTCAGCAAGATAAAGATAATCTTATGCCTTTTAATCAGAAATTGGAAAAAAGAAGAAGCAAATATTATACTTTTGCTGACTAATTCAATGGTAAAGCAAACCAGTTCCCTTTTCTTTTAATTGAAACACCGCTATCATAAAACATATGGCGGGTCTGAACCAGACTCAGGATATAATATAGTGTATTTTATTTATCCCTTTGCCTTCTGAGCCGTAAACCTCCATTATCCCCATATTTCTGCCACCTCTCCATGAATAATTATGTTGCTCTGATACCAAATTGCTTTATAGCACTACACACTGAGCTATTTCATTTTTACAATCCTAAAGTGATCATATAGCATGCTTTACTGGTTTTAGCAGGTGCTGCTAAAATAGAGCAGATGTGTAAAGATGCAAAGCCATAACTGAGGCACATACCTTTATGCTGTTGAACATTAAAACACTGATTAAAGCAGCTCTGCATCAATACACACCTGCACAAGCTGCTAGAGAGCAGCCTATAGCGCCTCCTCTGTATATATTTAATGTCTTTGGAAATGCTCGCAGACTTAATAATTTTCTTTGTCTAGAAACAAATACGCTTTGTTCGGTCTTTGTCCCTGCCTCTGTCTCTTCCTCCCTCCTGGCTGACCACCCCTCCCCTCCTTTTCCCTCCTCTTCCCCTTTCCTTTAATCAAAACCATCTGCAAGCGGTAAAGCCATGTCTTCCAGAAACCACAGATTTTAGGGAAAATTAGCTGCAACTTCTCCTACACAGAGCTCCCTTTGATTTGTCTTTTTCTCTGGGCTTTAGATAAACGGGAGGGAATTCCAGTGGGATGCTGTAATGCCGCAGCTCTGAGCTCTCCAAAGACGGCTCTCCTTAGCACCCTTTAATCTTTTCAGGGGGAGGAAGATACTATTTCTCTGCAACGCAGCCCAGCTACATATGGCTGTGATGTCTGTTATTTTGATAGAGCCAGACACCAGGGTGCTGGAAACAGGAAATGGCATCAAGATGTGGTCAGAGCCGTGGCCTCCACGGCTCACTGGGGGGTAAGCGTGTTAGGAGGGGAGACAGGCAGGTTGAATTCCTTTTCCAGATCTCTGCGTCTGCAGCAGATGAGGCAACGCTGACATGTTCAGCTGGTGTTTACGGCTTAAGTAGCCAGAGCCTGATATTTCACCGCAAAAGTCAGCAGGTGCTGACAAGCAGCAGATACCTGCTGTCGCACTTGTCCCCTCCTATAGGCGAACATACCAGAAGCCTCTAATTAGGGCTACTTGTGCTCATGCTGCGGTGTCACTTTGTCATGTTGGTTGTTTTTGTCTAATAAAGCCTGTCTGCTCTCTTGCAGGGGGAAATGCAACATTTCCCATTTCTCTGACATTTTCGCTGCCCGGGAGTTCAAAGCCCGCATGGACTCCTTTTTCTATATCCTTGGATATAACCCAGAGACCAGGTGAGCTTACCAGCACTGATGGTGCACCCGTCTTAATTCTCCCCCAAGCTCTGAAATTCAGTCAGCCCTGCACAACACTGACACCACGTTTATTAAATCAGGACAACATGGAGCCATCAGAAGTTCAGGTTGACATCCTCAGCATTTTTTTTTAACAAACAAAAACTAAAATCTAAAAATATTCATTTTCACATAAGAAAAAGAAAAGCAGCAGGTCTCCGGCAAGCCTGTTAGGATGATTACACAATTATCAATGTAAGTGACAGCTAATGTTCTGCTAACTGATGCCTGTATGAGGCAGCTCATTGTTATGTTGAAACAAAAATAGCCATTCATTATAAAGACACTTTGATGCAGCTAATATCGGATGAGGCATGTTGCTGGGGTTTGCATTAGTGTTAAATAACTTGCTAAATAATACATTCTTAGCAAGCTTACGCATGCAGGAGCTATACAGAGAAGCTATTTTTACCCCACATGAGACCTGAGGTCTCTACTTTCTTTCTTTTTTCTTAAAAAAATGTGTAATGTCTAATGATGACAAAAAAGAATGATCCCGATGTGGTCCAATTATGGGGAATGAGCCAGGGAAACCCCCCATGGTTTGTAATTTTATTGGGAATGTATCGATATTTTTCATGTTGCAGGTCAGGTTTTAAACATTGATCTTTTGCGTTAAAATTATGATTAGAATCAAGATCCTGCACGTTAAGCGTCTGATTAAGGTTTCACTGAAAACATTTTGATATGTCACGGCAGGAGAGGTACGGGTGTTAAATAAGAAAAATAATGTTGATTGAGTTTCCAGATCCTGATCCTTGTGCATCCTGGAAAACTAGAAAACACTCTTTAAAAAAAAAAAAGACAAAATTCACAATATTTATGTAGCTAATTAAAATAAAACATATTTTCATTACACGCAGTTTTGTATGTTCAGATAATAATGCCCTAACTTTATGTTAAGCACATCAACATATGACAAAGCGGAGCCTCTTCTGCTGTTTTTCTTCTGTGCATTAGATTATGTTTTGGAGTTTTCCAATGACAGTTGTCTTGTTCAACCACATAAACACTCCTCACTTCTTCATTCTTTCAATCACCTTCTGGCAGTGCTTATCCACGGGCCTGCTGATATCCAGGTGTGTTTCTCCTTCTGTGCAGAAATGTGGGTTTGCAGAGCCCCTAAGACAAGAGGCAAAACAAATCAACAGATTACACATTATGATTGTGCCACTAGGGGTGCAACAATACTCGTATCGATATTGAACCGTTCGATACAGTGCTTTCGGTTCGGTACGCATATGTATGAACAATACAAAATTTTTTATTTATTTTATCAACTTTCCTTCTGACGATGCTGTCTGCGTTGAGCGCTCAGTGGATCTGCGTTCGACTACTCCGCCTAGGCTGCACTGTCGAGCGCAGATCCACTGAGCGCAGCGCAAGCTAGCAAGACAGAAGCTAAGCTAGTTGCAACATGGCAACTGCCTCAACGCTACCCGAAATTGAACCTCCCCCACTCTCATTCAGATGTGGCCTTTGGAACTATCTTGGTTTTCATGTGAAGCATGACCCTGATGGTAAGCGAGTCATGGACAAAAGTAAAACAGTATGTCGGATGTGCCACGCAGTGCTCAATTGGTGGGAACTAGTGCGTTAGCGCAGTTAGCTTGTTAACGTGTTGACGCCGTCCAGTCCCACGCACGGGGCAATCCGCGGTAACTCGTTAACGGAGATTTGCCGCGTTATGGCGTTAATGTCATTTTAACGAGATTAATGTTTCAAACTTTACCGGAGTCATTTAGACAGCCGTTAGCACATGATTCTTCTTATGGGGACCTGATATGTTTAATATGCTGCTGAGAATATAGCCCAGAAGAAGCATATAGTATAGCTTTTATTTTGGAAAGAGACATTTCTCTGTAATAAACTCTCTTTTCCAAAGATGAGTGATTTCTCGATCAGATAGATTTTTTTTATTTTTTAATTATTTTGTTGTTTCAGCAACATTACATTTAAAAACTGTACTTTTGAGTTAAAATATATATTTATAATTTTAATAAATGACAAATTGAAAGACATAAAAAAAAATTTGTATCGAAAAAAAATATAGAACCGTGACACCAAAGTATCGAACCGAACCGTGAATTTTGTGTATCGTTACACCCCTACTATATACATGTCCACAGAATGGTACCAGGATATCCCCACATGTATTTATGGAGGCCTTGTCTGAATCATAAATATCAAGTCAAAATGTTCTGCTTGCATGACCCCAGTCATATTCAAAATGTTATAATAAGAATATTATCAAAATATTTGTCAAACCGTCTTTCCATATGTTTTCTTAACCGCACATCAGGTTTGCAAGGAGGCTGTCGTAGAACATGAGGGAGGGGGGACACTGCATGCAGTTTTACTAAGTGTCATAACTGAACAGAGCAATGCTTGGAAAGTCGATGCTACATCCTAACGCTAGAGGTGTATAAAATGAAACACCTGGCCACCCAGTCTGCCTTTACAAACACTGTTGAAAGAATGGGTCGTTCTGAAGCGCTGAATGAATTTGAGCATGACGCTCTGACATGATGTCACCACCGAAAGGAGTCAGTATGTGAAATTTCTTCTCTTGGAGATCTTCCACACGTAGCTATAAGCGCTATTATTGCAACGTGTTTCGGAACCAAGAGGAGCTCGGCCGCAAAGTTAGAGTGGAGACCTGAAGCTCATGGTGCGTAAACGTCTCCAACACTCTGCTGACTCAGTAACTACAGAGCTTTAAATCTGAACTGGCATTAACATCAGCACAAAAACTGTGCACCAGGAGCTTCATGGGATCGATTTCTAGCACAGCGCTGTGTTTCAGTAGTGCTATGCAATACGCCAAAGTTTTAGTAAATATAGAGCTAGTATTGCTATTACCAATTCCAATATTGATGGGTATTGTTTAGGTTTTATCCGATATCGCTGCCAAACTGGTACTTTTGAAACGATGCCGGTGCTCAAACGGTGCTCGGACCGGTGCTTAAAGAATGGAGATCACAAACTTTGTCCAAAAACCTCTTATGTTTTTATTTTTAGCAGTCTCTTTTTTTCCTGCAAAATGATAACCAAGTTAGCCTTTTCTGTTGATACAACATACCTCCTTTGGCTGGAACCAGTGCTTAAACAATGGAAAACACAAACTTTGTCCTAAAACCTCTCATGTTTAGCTGTTTTGTTTTTTTTTGTAAAAAGATAACAATGTTAGCCTTTTCTGCAGCTATAGGGCATATATGGTATCACTATCAAATAAGAAGACAGCCGCATGTAACTACGACAATGTTTGCTAGTTCACCTTACATGCATTAATGTAATAACGTGGTTAGCCTACTCAACGTAAATTACACACGAACAACATTAAGCTACTCACGCAGAGAAGAACGGCTGCTGCTGCTACACTGGCAGGGCTAGGGGCCAGGACTCTAATCTTCGGGTTTTTGGGGGATGTTGCTAACTCCGGGTCCGATAACAGGCACCACACCCGCAGTAGATGTGCCCGGTGTGAGGTCTTGCAGCAAGCTATCAAATACGGTGCATTTCTCGGCTTTTAAAAAAACGCAATGCGTCGCCAGGTGTTTCATCAGATTCAAGGTGTTACCTCCTTTGCACAGTATCACCTTAAAGCACTTGTTGCAGGCTGCTGAGTTTGCATCTTTTGCTGTGAAGTACAGCCAGACTTTGACCGCTTCACCTTGGGCATTTTTAATCTGTAGCTCTGCTCTAAAAGAACATACGTATCTGGACCCGCCTACTATCCTTGCAAAGGTAAAGTTATTGGCTAAAATCGAAAGTGTATGACATCTCAAGAAAAAAAACAGCACCGAAATGTGCTTTCAGTCTGGTTACTACCGTTTATGTTAGAACCGGTGTCATAATGGCACCGGATACCGGTACCCATCCCTGTATAGGGGTAGGAGTATGTCATGATTTGAGATGAATCATCATTAATCTGCACATTTTAATGACCACTAAATCACTGCGATTTCACTGTGTACGAAACACACCTTTTGCTCTTCCTGCATTTTGACATTATTTATTTATTTATTGGAGACCTGTAATGTAAACGTGTCCATCTCTAAAGCACTTTGGATCCAGTTCTGTTGTTTAAATGTTCTATAAGCTGTAAATAAAACAGACATGACAGTCAAATCAAAATCGTTCCAACGTTTTTCATAGTTTTTCCAAAAAAACCAAACAATTATTATGAAGCACAATTCAGTGTTCTACATACTGAACTTGGAGGATAGAAACAAAGTATCGATCCTATCGGGCTAATATCAATCAGATACTAATACCAGCGTTGGTATCGACCCGCCCGCCACTATTTTTCTGTTACACTTGAATATTTCAACTTTTTTAATATGTTGGATCTCTTGATCTTCACTTTAACTGATGCATTTTTACGCTGATGCCCTTCAGTATAAATATAACATTTCTTTGGACACGATGAGCTTTGTCATTCATTCAAGTGCACGAGTACAAAATGAGAGAACCCCCCTTGTGTTATTATCACTGGTTGTGCGGGGAATGCCTCACGTGTTGCAGTGACAGCTGTCCTTGTTGTTGGCACTGATGGTTGCCAGCTGGGAACCCCCCTCCATCGGGGCCCCCTGTTCCACTCTCGGTCTTCCGCTCCCTTCCTCCCTCCTCGTTTGGTATTCCGAGCTCGGCGTCTGCAGCATTGCAATTTCACTCTTGTTTATTATGGTGCAGACATACGAGGAGAGATGAATTCCGTATCCCGCATGCGGCTGTGTCTGCCTGCCTCTTAGTGCGTGCGTGTGTGTGTGTGAGGTCGCAGCACATGCTCAGTAGTGTGTGTAGAGGAGCGAGCCGAGCTTGCGACGCTGTACGTGCTGGCTGAGGTCACAGCACAAGCTCAGTGAATACCTCTCCGGGAGCGAATGCGTGGTTCTCCATTTTGAGCACCTAGGAATAGGTGTGAGAGGGGAATTAATTTCAACCAGCGTTACACACACAGTGTCAGCACCCCCACCTTAGGGCTCGATGTCAGAAATGGACGATTTGTTCAGTCCCCGGAGGTAGGTTTGCGATCACATTGTCGCGCTTTCCCCGTGCCATTTATCGGTTGCGAGTGCGCGAGTGTTTGGCTCGTCTTATTTTCATGGAGTCGCATTCCAGCTGTCTGACAGGACTGTGTGATGTGTGTGAGAGCCGTCCGCGCCGCTGTCATTGTGTTAACCGGCTGTGTTTGTGTGTCGGTGGCGGGGGAGAAAAAACCCGAGTGTCGGGAGCCCGAACGCTTCTGTCACCGCAGCCTCGCATACCGTTACGCGTCTGGAGTCGCTCCGCACCTTTTTGTGCATGCGCTTCATTCAAGCTTCCGATAAACGCACATTGTCGGGGTGTTCATCCGCAAGTGTGGGGCTGGTGAACGTGCTGCCGGTGTGGTTATATGGTGTGCGTTAAGACCAGCAGAGGCTTCCCTGGCTCCATTTTGCATCTCCTGTTTACAACCGGGATGATGACATGGCGTATGAAGCAATGCCGGGGAGGGGGTGCAGGCAAAGCTCAGACGGCTGTGCTGCCAGCTGCGATTTACACAAGCCTACCGATCACGATACCAACAACACCAACTTGAGTCTGCTGCTTCTTCTTCTGTTTTTTTTTCTGCTGCGCTACAATTATGTCAGTGTGCCACAGTCTAGCTCAGCGATTGGCTGGAATTGATGGCGGAGGGGGCGGGGCTATCCTTGATTGCACACAAAGTTGCCCAGACTGTCACGTTGTTGTTTTGGGTTTTGATAAGTAAGCCTGTAATTACTTGACAAGATTGTGTGCTAATGCTGAGTTAGAGCAGAACTTGTTGTAACAAGTGGCCATGTTTTCATAGTGTTTACTGTGCTAGGCAACAGGCTTTGAGCTGCTTAATGGGGGTGGGGGGTCATTATTAGTGGGGGAAGTGTTTTATGAATACTCAGCACAGCTGCCCAGATAGTGCTTCATCCATCCATGCCTTCCTTTGTTTGCTATGAATAATTGTATTAAGCTGATGACCAGGATTTCTCAATAAGTATAAAAATCAGCTGCTGGATGCATGATTAAGGAATGCTTGATATATATGCATATATTTCTTTTATCACAGGCATCAGTGCTTGTGTTGCAGGCTTGCTTTTGTTTAAGAGTACCTGCAGTCTTTATGGAAACTCCTCCGAGCCTCCTGCTGCGATCTGTATTCTGCCTCCTCTCTCAGGACCTGCGCAGCATTAAAGCACGGCTGTCTTCAGACACACTGTTCTCATTCTGGAGCACAGGTCCTCATTTGTCATCCTTACTGCCTCCTGCCAAATGTGCCGTGGACCTGGCCCGACTGCACATTGTCAGAAACGCGTTTTGTGAGAACTTTTTTCACTGTGTGCAGGAACACACTCTGTAAATCAAATAATTTTTCTTCCTCTTCTTTTTTTTTTTTTCTCCCTTTGTCATGCAGGCGTTTAGATGTGCAGATGTGGATGGTATATCTGTTCTGCTCTAATAAATCAAAAGGAATGGTTATTGTTTGTTCATTGTTCGCCACTCACAACTGTTTGGGAAGTTTCAGACATATAATGGTGTCTGAAACCCGGCTTTAAGTGGGATTATGAAATTGTTATGAAACCTTTATAGTCTTATCTGGAGTGCTGATGACGCAGAGAACCACCGTATTTCATCTTTATCAGCACTATTCATCACTGTAGCTGCCAGTTTCTGAGTGCTTTATATTTAGTTTGTCTTATTCGCTGAGAGCGTTGGTAATAAAACCAAGTGAAGTATTTCGACATGTTTCGGAGCGGCAGGCGGTGTTTTGGCAGCTGAGGTTCGGGTTTTTGGAGTGTGCTGGTGTGGAGGTTTTTGGCAGATCATAACATCTATGGATGGATGTGGATTAAACCTTTAATCGGACTCTCCTGTCTGAAGGGATCTTTTTAAGAAGGGGAAACGGGCCAAACCTGAGCCCGTCGCAGGGTTTGCGTGGTTTGAGGACTGTAAAGAGGACGGGAGGATTGCGGCCTCTCGAGTTTCCTCCGGTGATGGAGTGCGAGCTTCTCTCAGTGCAAATCACGCTGACAGATTCTGGGCTGCTCTGCGCTCGCTTGTATGAAAATCGGCGCTGTTGCCTAGGCGACCGAGGGGAAAAGGCTTTTCAAAAGGAACATCTTGTCATTTTCTTTAATCCACTGCAGCTGGAGATTCGGTACACTATTATTAAATTGCAGTTGCTATGGCTACCAACATTTGCACCAGCAGCCGTTTTCACCCTGCATATCCAGAGCCAGTTCCCCCTCCACCTCCTCTCCCCCCTTCTCCTTTTTGGGGATTCTGTTTTATTGCTGCATCCACGTTATCATGCCTGCAAATGTGCACTGCTCGGCTCGCTGTGCAGGAGCAGGCGAGCAGGAACCAAATCTGTAAACACTTTGTACTTTTTCCCCGTAAAGACTTCCACATTTGAAAATAAATGAATAAATACAGACCATCCCCACTTGGTCTCTGTTGGATCTAGTCTTGGTCATGAGTGGTTAGATTTTTATTATCGTCAGTTTGTGATTTTTGCCGTTTGAGCAGTTGTTTAGTTAATTAAACAGGATTTGCAGAGCTGACAGATTTCTCACAGCCGGCTTTTGAAATGGTGACGTGTAAATATTTTGTTTCAATCTGCTCTCTTTGTTTCTTCTCAGGCGACTAAACAGCACACAGGGGGAAATCCGAGTGGGACCCAGTCACCAAGTAAGTCATTGCTCAGCACACACATTAATGTTCGAACCGCAGGGCTTCACCTGAATAAGAGACTAATAATTGCATTATTCGATCTCTGGGTGGGAATTATGTGTTTAGTTTTGAGATACTAGGGTTTTTTTTGTTCATCTGTTTATTTTATGTGAACATACACACACTCTCAGATTGAGCGTCTGATATCCGGCTCAGTCGTTGCAGCGATTATCATATTTCTGTTCACCGACTTTGTGGCTAGATTCAGAAAAGTCTCGTGTTCAGTACTGCGTCACAGACGTAAGTAGTGGTTTCCAGCAAAAACCCAGAGTTACAGTTTTTGCAATAAATACAGCACAGGCAGCAAATGTAACCAAGCTTTGAGAATTTACTGTTTAATTACTTCAGGAGATCCGGATTTTAGAGAGCACTAGTGTAACAGTCTGTGCCCTTGTTTTGCAGAATCATTGTGATTTATGCATGTGTATTATTTGACAGATTAAAGCTGTATTTTACTGTGTGGTCATTAATGACCGGCCTGCACTTAGTAGGACTCACAGCACCAGTTATTGTTAATTTTACAAATTTTCTTGAAGCAAACATCACGCGGTTATAAATCTTTACATGTTGCCTGGGAACATCGGAATGAAATTACTGATTGGATTAAGTTTGCATGATTGTTCACAGTAATGTTTGCGCCTGCTGGTTTTAGTTGTGCTGAAACTCTGCAAAGTTGTGTGTGTGTTACCCTCCCTTTAATGTCAGGTATCTTTACATAATCCCGTCTTAAACTAACACCTTCAGAGTATTTATAATCCGGTGTCATATATACTGTGTATTAAACTATTGTGACAGTAGCTTCCTGCCGTCCCACCACTCAGGAACACACAGTGAAAAGTTGATGACAGGCGGCTGAAAGAGGATATTTTCTTCAAGCCTGTGTGCTATTTGTAGTGTGACACCATCTGTCTCTCTCCTCCTCCGTGGACCTAATTAGGCCAAGCTCCCGGAGCTGCAGCCTTTCCCCTCCCCTGGTGGCCAGGCCGTAACCGAGAATGAGGAGCTGGTCTGGATGCCAGGGGTCAATGACTGTGACCTTCTCATGTACCTCAGAGCTGCAAGGTGAGCCCAGAGACACACAGGGCCTCAGACTTGGCAGTTATGCAAGGTCTAAAGCTGTTGGAGGTTTTTCACACACACACAAAAAAGGGGGGAAAAGTGATTTTTAAATTGACCTCTGACCTACAAATATGAATAAAATACTCTTTGTCAGTGAAAGTAAATGTCATGATCATGTCTCTCTGTCCAGGATCAATTCCAGGATGGGAATTGCTGAAGTTGGTATTTTATTGCTTTTTATTAGTGTTGCCCTCTGATCACATTCGGTATCTTGGGATGCAATCGGTCATCAGAGCTCGATGGGATGTTGTTCCAGTTCCAGTTCCAGTGATGTGTGTTGACAGGTTTCTGTGTCAGAGGCCACAGTGTAATTAATCACCATGCCACCATGCCAGACAGCATTGCACAACTTCCACTGAAGTTTATGTTTAGCCTTACCTCAATTACACTCGGGTCCATAATATTTTGGCCAGTGAGGTAATGATCATAATTGCTGCCGTGAACGCAGGTGTTGTCATAAAAATCAGTACATAACAGAACAAACTTTGATAACAACACCAGTGTTTACCTTTTTGCGTGATTCAAGAATTTCAACAACAATATTTTGTTAATGATTTATAAACTATGACGTGCGAGTAAAATTTTCCAAAGCTGTTCATGTTTTCTACAAATGAGGTGCAGCGCGCCCACGAGCACGCCGCAGGTGCCAGCAGTAACTTTTGTGAGTTACGATCTATTTACGGTTTCTGTTTTAACATTTTTTAAATGTCAGTGATACTTTTTACTTGGATAAATGAAGGGAACTATATAGAAAAGTCATTTTGCCACAAACTGCAGCTTCGCCTTACTGTTCTTTCTGGCTCAATGTGACTTTTTTTATTATTCATGAGAGATGTGTTTGACAAATTACACTCCAACAAGTCATTTATTTAGTTTAAATTCCCACAATCATTTGTTGGAAAATACCAGAAATCAGTTTTTCGCAGGCGATTGCTTTTTGGCACGATACCGGCAGCGTGCCACCCACAGCAGGTTACACAAATGAAGAGGTGCACGACAAGCTGAAACTACAGCAAAATGCATCTCACTTCAGCAGCACTGATTTATTCAGTAGATCTACTGTTTAACTCTCCTTTTTTCTTTTTTTTGAATATCTTTATTATTTCCTAACAAATGAGGCAGACATAATATCTGAATTCGATTCAAAGTGTTGAAATTATGTTTTGTAGCCTTTCACTATAATTTTAAATGTGAAGCCCAGTGAGATAGAAGTCCTGAAAGACCACAGAAGACAACTAAACTGCATGATGATTAAATTATTTCCATGGTTACAAAAAACAACTTTGTAAGATGTAACCGAGTCAAGAGCTGAAGTAGGTTGGCTTATCGTCAGTCTACAGTCTAGAGACGTCTTCGTGAATGCACATAGAGTTTAGAATAAGGTGCAAACCACCGGCTACACTCAAGAACAGGGAGATCACATCAGACAAGCGTTTTATTTAATACTGGGTTAGTTTGTCCACTTAAATTTTATACATGGCCCCCTATTATGAATATGCGACTTTATGAAAATGGTCATAATTTTTGAAGGGTTAATGAAATACTTTTGTTAAACTGCTTGAATTAAAGCTGAAAGTCTGCACTTGAATCACATGTTTGTTTGACTCTAAAACTTAATCATATAATTGCAGATATGCACATAAATGGACTGCGCGATCATGTTTGTTCAGTCAGGTGACCTCTGTGTTTCAATATTGAGGTAGTGTGCAGGCTGTTTATTCAACATTATGTGGGTAGCCACGTTTGAATGGCAGGAACTGTTTCCAGGTGTCCTCTGCTTATGTTTGTGTGGGAATGATTAGCTAGATTTGTGGCCTTTCCTTTAAAAACGTTACATCATCTGTGTCGCGTCCACAGGAGCATGGCTGCCTTCGCAGGGATGTGTGATGGAGGCTCAACAGAAGATGGGTGTCTAGCAGCGTCTCGAGATGACACTACATTAAACGCACTTAACACTGTAAGTAGCCTTGCAGCAAGCCTTAATACTGCGAGCCGAGCGTGCATCACAGAAAATGAACCGAGTTAACGATGAATCGCAGAGATTTGTACGGTGCGTTCAGCTGTGATTTCACTGTGCAGTGATTTGCAGTGATAAGTCCTTTTCAGCAAACCCGTCCTCAGGAGCCGGCAGTGCATTAGGCATAACGCGAGGTTTGTCCGTCGGATTGATAATGAAGACTGGAGGAATTGAGAGCAAGAAAGAGATTATAATCACCATAAACAGGGCATCTATATTCCAAATCTATAAACTGGAAAATTAACATAGCGGGCAGGTCACTGTCTCTTGACCTTACTCTCCATTTGCAATTCCAATGAGTGATGCTTGTTTATTCTCAGAGGAAGAGCTCCAGCGCTGTCTGCTTCGCCCAGCCGAATGTGACACAAAGCTTAAAAGAAGCACGGCAATTGATTTTGTCACTGTTATTGTTGTTATATCTAGGCTGGGGTCTTGGGTCTTTAGTGTGTGACATCCCTCTCATTTATAGTAACAGCTTCAGTCACACCTGGATGTAAAATCTTTTTGCGTTGCTTTCTGAGCTCATTAAAAGGTGTGGATGCTACTCAGGTGCCCTTAGTGAGACTGGAAAGAAAGTTGGCACCCTTATAAATGTTTTCTTTAAAAAGCTATGTTTGTTTGCTTTCTCATTTATTTGTTGTTGTTGTTTTTTCTTCCCCTCTAGCTTCACGAGAGCAGCTACGACGCCGGCAAGGCTCTGCAGCGTCTGGTGAAAAAGCCGGTACCCAAACTGATAGAGAAGTGCTGGTCTGAGGATGAAGTGGTAAGAGAGCCATTCTTTTATGTTGTCACGCATTAGCAAACGCGTGCTGATCTAAAAATAACACGGGCTGCATAAATATTAGTTGGTTTCCACAGCGAGCTGCTGTTTTTGTCATTTCATTTCACTCTGTGCGCCTCTTGTTCGTCTGCCGTTTGACTTCAGAGGGAGCTGTTGAGACTCTTGGCCTGGCCTCACAAAACATCAGTAAAAACACTTGTCAGTTTCCAGCTCCTCCAAGGCTCAAGAGCAGCTGCATCCTGTTTATCACCCACAGAATAAATCTTTAGCATAGAAGCCTGGAAAAGGGGGAGAAGAGGGGAAAAAAAGGGGGGCTGGTAACGTTTGCCTCCATTTCAATTTCGATGTGAATTTCAGCACAGCTGTTGAAGGGCTGGGATCAGAAAATGGCAGCCCTTCTCCCTGATCAAACACTGCATCATGAGTGGGAAGGAGGGGAATGAAAGCGCCAAATTAGACCGTGTCAGAACGACTGAGCGCGCCGGCTTTGGCCTTGATGCGTTATGACACACTGCGCTGCATGTTTGTATACTCGGGCTCTTTTAAAGATAACACTGCTGAAGGATCTGACTGTAGATCTTAGAAACAAACACCCGCCTCTCTCGCTGAATGGCTGCTGTTAGTCGTTCCTCCTCCTCAATGAATCAGCCTTTCCTCTCGGTGATATTGTTTTCGTAATCCTGACGCTTGGCAGACTTTGATTCCAGCTCGTATCCAGTGGAAATGAATGGGCGTCGTTTGTCTTGTAATCAAACACGACGGACGCGTTTAAATTAAACCCTCGGCCCACGGCAGGGCCGCGGCGGATCACAACAAATTAAGTGAGCCCTCCTTTTTTGTGGACTACTTATGAGTTTGCCTTTTATTTGTGCGTTCGTATTTACACTTGCCGATGGCAGGCACAGCTGTGCAAAGGTAATCAGAGCGAGGGACGGGGCGCGGTGATGGGAGGCTTTATTGCCACACTCGACCACAGCGGGGTCGACCACAGACCACTTGTCAAAGAAACGCTGTCTCGGCAGCAGGAGACTCAGACACTAAAACAAGCTCACAGCAAATCATTTGGGCAATTTGAATAGACCGAATATTCCATTACAGTCACATCCATTATTATATACATATATGTGTGTCTGATTGTGTTATTTTGCTGTTCCACTGGGAGATGATGTGCTGAAACCGTCACCCCGCTGCTCTCTGTGTTCTGCTCCATTCACTCATTCATTTATACGGATTCATCTCACCGTGCTGACGGCGTTATGTAACAAGAGCCGAGGAGCTGTTGGGGAGTCCGGTACGCAGCGTCTGCCATGTTCTGTCCCGAGAGCGTTTTGTGTCTGCGGGTGGAGGCAGTCAGCAGGATTTCACCTGCAACACAGCGTCTGCCGCCCGGGGGGGAAGCAGCATCTTGACTCTTGGCCAAGGACACGGCTTCCACTGATCTGATCACCACTTGTGCCTTTTCAGCCCTGCAGCCTTGAGGGACAGGTGTAAATGCAGCTCCAACCTTGACGTACTCGCAGAAACCAGCCCTGCTGCTCTTCATTTATTCATCATCACCCCCGTCGCTCTTCTGCCTCCTCCACCTCCTCCCTCTTGTATCTCGTCGCCTCCAGGACTGGCTTCATTATCCCTGCCTGTTCTTTTCTCACCCCAGCCATTCTCTTAGAGATGTGAATAAAAGTGACAGCAGGGACCGCTGAAATGACAGAATCAGCCTGTCTGCGGGGTCACTTGCCACCTTCCCTTCCTCCCTCTTTGACTCACATCTCCTGTCCTCCGTGTGATTACGGCTGCTGCAGCAGCATATACTCCTGGACCTCGTCTCAACCTTCTAAACTTTGAGTGAAATGCGAATAATCTCCCCCCCCACACGCGCACACACACATTCAAACGACAGGACCGCTGCCACAGTCATATGTTTGGCGTTTCATTACAGCTCTGGACGAAGTGACAACATCTCAAAGCAGAGTGTCGTTTGATTTTTATTGTCCTCTCGCAGGAAGAGAAAATTATTTCACTCCAGAAAGATTTGTGACAGTCAATCCCCGAACAATCCTTCACCGTGACATTATTAGTGCAACTGTCAGACACCGGAAATCCATCACCTTGACGCCAGCGCCAACCAAAACCCTTTGACGTGTGACTAAGGCGATGTCTGCAGATTACGCCCAAGAAAAATCTCGCGTGTTTATAAAATAAAATATGTTCTGATTATTATCATTTTATTTGATCGAAAGAGGTAACATTGAGCTGATTTTAGTTAAAGTTATTCATTTAGATCCACTGTGTGTCTGTAGAATTCAAAGGAAATCCAGTTGTTTTATCAGTAAATTGATTCCTCTGCACCTTCTGGCCCTTCAGACTTTGCTGAAGGTCATCATAATGAAATGTGGCTTCACCCGAGGCTGCTGTCATTCCTTCTAGTAAATAAGCGGTGCTAATAATGCGCCGGCCAACAGGAGGTGCCCTATAAACAATCAGAAGCAGCAGCCGTGCCGTGTGTGTCGCCACGTCACAGATAGCGAGGCTGATCTACGACTGCTGCAGGGCGGGAGGTCTATTCCTCAGCCAGCTGCACTCTGTTGCGGCTTATCTCCGGCTGTTTCTTGGGCTGATGGATGACTGGAGCAGGGCCTCCGACAGCAACGAGGTGGGGAGGGGGGGAACGAGGGAGAAGAGCAGAGTAGCAGCCCCCCAGTGGTAGAATACAAACCTGCAGAGCCGAGCTGACACCCAGCAGACGGATAAAATGCAACACACCTCCCTGTTTCCCGTGCCGCAGGCTATGTTTAATGTCAACAGCAAAATTTATTCCCTTTATTGTGCCAGCAGTGTGTTTCTTTTATTTAGGAGACGGTTGTTGTTTGATAACTAAATAGCAGGCAGGATGGGTGTGTGCTGGAATTTCCTGCCACCTTTTGTGTCACTGCAAGCAAAAGAAAGCAGTGGATGTTGCTTTGCTTTGCAGAGGATCAGGATACTTTCACATTTGCTGTTTTAAAAAAATAAATAAATTGAGGGCGGGGTGACTTTTAGGTCTTTTACAGAAAAGTTAAGGCTTATAAAATATACTTTATGGTTGTAATTGCGGGACAACAGTGCAAATGTTAGCATATCTACATAGATTGTGCTTTCTGTGAGGTGTCTGTACAAAGAGGATGTGGGTAGTCTCTTGTCTGTCAGTGCGGTTCCCCCTATTCAAGACTGTTGTGATTTCCTTTCTGCTCACCAGGCCCAATGTAACGGGCTGATGTTTCATAACAGACGTGTGTGTGTGTGTGTGTGTGTGTGTGTGTGTGTGTGTGTGTGTGTGTGTGTGTGTTTCTTTGCTTTTTGTTTTTGGCTAGCTGACTGATTGCCCTCAGCCCTCTGGGTTTATTCGCAGCAGGCTCGGAAAGGTCAGCTTTTAACAACAAGTCAAGTATAATGACTCCATATTGAGTGGAAGTAGCTTTGTTTGCTGCTGTGCTGCTCTTGCGTCAGTGTTTTTATGGAATGACATTTAGCAGGAATTATGTCCTCTGTGTGTGTGTGTGTGTCTGAGTCTGAGCCTGTCTTTGTGATATTATCTTTGCGCCCATGTTTGCATTTATCTTAACCAGTTTTACTGCTTCGAACAATCATCTCTCAAGCAGGAAGTGCCTGCACGCAACAAAGGGCTATTTAATGCCTTTTTTCCTTTCTTTTCTCCTCCTTTTCTTTCTTATTTTACGTCTCCTCTCTGGGCTTACAATAGTGCACTGTTGGACTCGGGGCGGAAACTCGGGGCGGGTAAAAAGCGCCAGCGCTCTGGAACACGCTCAGAGAGAGACGCCTGTTGTTTCTGCACAGCGGATGGCTATTTGGTAGCGCTTCCACCACCCAGCTGCCCCCCTCTCCCCTTCTTGCTCACTCACTCACTCCCTCTCTCTCTCTCTCTCTCCCCCCCCCCCTTGCTCAGCTTGCTCTGCCTCTCCAAGCCCCTCCTCTGCTGCTGTGTTGCCTAGCAACCAAGGGCTGGAGCAATCGGAGCAGGGGCAGAGCGATTCGGGGAGCAGATTGGCAGATGATTTATTAGCTGGGCTGGAGAGCAGTGAGCCCAGGCAGCTGAAATGGAGCCTTAAACTGGAGCCGACATGTAGAGAAGGGAGGAGGGAGCCAGCGAGAGAAAGAAAACGAGAGGGAGGGAGAGCACGCATGCAGCTCCTCTGTGGAGATGAACGGGCGCACTGAGTAAATAGTACAGTTGGGGGGGAAACATAATTAAGGTGACATAATTAGGACAGATGCAGGCTGCACGGGCAGGTCTAATTGATTTTTGACGTAGAAGCTCTGCAGGCTCAGGTAAAGCTGAGACATGGAAATTTATCCTCAGCACCACCTCACCCCTCATCCACCTTATCATCTGGTCTACCTCAGGTTCAGGTTTATTAAATATTTGTGAATCCTCGGGTAGTTTTCCTCTTGTTTTTCCCCCGCAAACATTTGTGAAGCTAATACTTCAGCTGGTTATTTACTCAGTTTTGTCAGCGCCTGTCAAACAAACCCTGAAATAGGCCTTCCACTGGTGCTCTGTTGCTCTCTAGACTGCTTTTGAGTGACAGTGTAAATAGTAATCTGCCCCTTAACCCCCTTGAGTGGTCGGAAATTTATTTATTTTTTTCCCCGTTGCATGTGGTGCTGGTGTTAGAGACGGCTCCATCTACTGGCTAATCAGCCGCTACACCTTCAAGCTGATGAATGCAAATTAGCTGCTGTCTCATGACACTTACAGGACAGGCCGTTTTGTTAAGCTGTCAGCTGAGCGCGACTAGCTTTTTGATCAGGCCCTCTTGTGTTTGCTTGTTTAGTCTGGTTTAATTTCGACCTGTGCCTTCTTTCTTTATGTTTTTGTCTGCACAATAACAAAGCAGAGCTGGAAAATTTGAGAATATCAAGTTTGCTTGTGTTAAGGACGTAAGTATAGTAATTCACAAAGCTCTCTCTCGCCTGTAATTTTCCCTGAAAGACAGTTGTGCTTCGCAGCAGGCTGCGTTACTTCTGTAAATTTGGCTTTTGTTCCCCCACCAAAATGAGGTATGTAAACAATCTGTGGTTGCATAACATACTGTACATGGCATGGAAAATGAACTCCGGACAACACAGGAGAGGCTCCATATCTGGTTTTCCCGCCCACTTGTGTCCTTTCCACCGTGTCCAAGACCTTTCTCCACACAAATTGTGTCAGCCTGGCTCCCCTCTCAGGCGGGCAGCTAGTTTTGCCTCTGTGCAGGCTCACTCCATGCTGTAGTTTCCTCACAAGGAAATAGAAACCTGTGTAGTTTCAGTCGCAAGCATTGGCTTAGGTTTTTCTGTGTGTGTGTGTGTGTGTGTGTGTGTGTGTGTGTGTGTGTGTGTGTGTGTGTGTGTGTGTGTGTGTGTGTGTGTGTGTGTGTGTGTGTGTGTGTGTGTTTGTGTGTGTGTGTGTGAGGGGTGGGTAGAGAAGTAAAGCTTGCCCATTCAGTGCTAGAGGCTGAAATGAAAGCTGTGCCTAACACTAACATGAAGCACAGGACTCCACTTCGGGTTTTCCATCCTGCTGCAAACCAGAGGCTCTCTTGCAGAAAGATCACATGTAAAGCCTTCCCCTTTGTAGTGGAAGAGCAGAGAGTGACAAGCTATTTCTTTCTTGTTAAAAAAAAAAACATAAGAAGAACGACGTCCTGTCGGAGACATTGTGGATTTACCCCCCTTTAATTTTCCCTTTACCTGTGGGTGGACGTAGAGATTTGTGCTGTGCTCCCCGAGGACTTTTCTCTGCTTTTCTTTTTTTTTGCTGGAGTTACTTGGTGGAAACGGTTGGCTGAGATCACTGTGGAACGGGGCTCGCCTCTGGAGCAAGAAAGTAAATCTGTTGGTTGTCTGCTTCGCTGGTTATGAATGTTTTTCAGCCGTCGCTTTTTATGGCTCGCAGTCTGTGGCTCTTAAAGGAGAAGAAATATATGTAGGTTGCTCTGATTTTTGGGGGCTTTCCGACATTGTTTTTTTTTTTGTTTTTTTTTTGTGCTCACATTGAGGTAAGGGCTCTCGTTGACGTTCAGTTTATTTTTAATGTCAGATTAAATCCAGTGTCACAAAGTAGCCTTCTCTGTCATCGTGTAGTTCACCTCACTTGGAAAGAATTCTTTTTTTTTGGACATTTAAATTTTTCTGGGGTTTGTTAGATTGCCAAAATATAACGACAGAATTAGAAACGGAGTGCCACGCACAGAGAGGCATCTTCAAGTTTAGCTTTTGACTTTGAACTTTCACTTGGGAGATTAACAACACGTTTGGCGTGTCTGCTGTTGTGTTTGTTTTCACATTAGATCGTGTTTGTCTAACTGTATGTTCTGCGCTCGTGAAACGACGAGCTTAATCTCAGCGTCTCTCCCTGCCTTGCCTGTCATTTCCTCTCTGGTTTTGCCCTGACATGGCTGTGTTTGCTCCGGAGTTTAAACGGCTGTAGAGGTTTATAAAAAACACAGCAAACCTCAGACGACCGCAGAGTAGCGAAATGAAAACAATGTTCTTTGTCGTGGTGTTAAGCAGAAAACTTTATTCTGTGGTACTTTAGCTGACTTAACATATACTCACTGCTCTCTTTTTTTTTCTTTCCCTCTCCCCCCCCTCTTTCTCTCGTTCTCTCTCTCTTCCTCTGTGCAAAAAAATTGCAGAAGCGCTTCATTAAAGGGTTGAGACAGTTCGGCAAAAACTTCTTCAGGATCCGGAAAGAGCTGCTGCCCAACAAAGAGACGGTAAGCTCGTTTATTTCTCTCTGTGCCACTGATACAAAAACAGAGAAACTGAAGCATTTGCAGTTTCCTTGTAAGTTACAGAAAGCAAGTTTTAGTTTAATGCTATGAGGCCTTATTGTTAAGAAGCGCTGCTTGCCAACAACTCTAGCGTAGTATTATCACATCAGGCTCAGGGGAAAATAATAATATTAATATTAAAAATACTTGTTTGCACCTGAGTGTAAACCTGAGCTTAAATGTACTTCCCAGGCAAGTTACACACTCAACATTAATTAGCACCCTCTGTTAGCAAGTAGTAAACAAGTAGTGCAGATGTGATTTGAACCACTGTGTTTACAGCATATGTCAGCTCTGTGGAGCAGCCTGCTTTATCTCATGTTTGTGCTACAGTGCTTTATTATTAGCACTTGGGATTTTTCCTTTCCTTCTCTTGGTCTTTCAGCCATTTTCAGAGCAAACTAAAGGGCAATGCGATGTCTTCCACTAGGATTACAAAGCAATAAACGTGACTGTTTGAACATCAACAAAGTTGCATTTGTGTCTGGCCTGGTAGAGAGAATCGAAGGCCATAACTTTGATTACTGTCATTTAATCAAACCTAAGCCAGTATTTTTTTTTTATCTTATAAATTCAGAGATTTGTCTCCTTCTTAGCTGATTGGAGAGGAAAATGTTTGTACACTCCAAACGTTTGCAACTGGAGATTATTGTGCCTGCGGTTAGAGGTAGCTTCCTGTTGGTTGTATCGTATGCCTCCTTCAAACAAAAGCTTTGTCACTGACTGCCAAAGTTGTTTTGTACCTCTCGCACTTTGTAAATGTGTTATTTATGCACATAAGCAGAGGGAATTTCCTCCTGTCAGCGGCTCCCTGCTCTTCGTGCGGGTGTGTGTTGTAATCGTTATTGAACGTCCGTGTGACCCGTGCCACAGTACAAACAGGTCAGATTCAGGCCTGGCAATGATTAACAGCAGCTCACCTCGTTCAGTGTGAACTTTGTGTTGGAAACAAAACACAGAAGCCACACTGTTTTTGTGCTTTTACTTCTTTAGATATAAAACCTCTTAAAGGGCTCGACCTGCATTTTTATTTTGCCTGTAATTGGCTGCAGAGCGAACAGGTTCATGTTGCTTCAAAGCCTTTAGGCTCGGCTGTTAAATAATTCTTAGATATACATTTTGATTCATGAAACAGTGCAGACTTTGCTGTTTCTGCGAGGCTGCTCCTGCTGGAAGTGTGCCGATATAGTGCTGACACAGACATCAAAGGAAAATCAAAGGTGTTTGTCATACTTTTCATCTGCTTCATTTCCTCGCCTGCTCCGAGGTGAGGGTACGTCAGCCCTCCTTTTCTAAAACCCGCAACATATCCTGTAATATTTTTACACCCCAACTCTTTAGTGTCGTCTCCTTTTGTGCTACTTTTTTTTTTTCATTCTTTATTCCTCAAAACCAATTTGAGCCTCTTGAATAAGAGATTAAAGTGTATGAATACTGTTTCCTCGCAGAGGGTTTCTTCAATTATTTTTACTGGTTTTGAAATATATGACTAGTCCAGTTGATTGGCTATAAAGGAGGTATTAATGCACTTCAACCTGGAGGGGGGAGTCTACTTGGCAGGAGAGGTAATAGACCTCCTCCAGGATATGGGCCTGCCACCACCACAGAGCAGAGAAAGATTAATTTTTCCCCCTGCAAATGGAAAATAAACTGGCCTTTAAATATGAAAAGATGACTGGGAGAGCACGGAGAGGGTAGTAGCGACCTATGAAAAAAGGGAGTAAAATGGGCATTGGCTCAAAAGAGCCAGTAAAGTCTGTGTTTTCACACAAGGAGAAAAAAACAAGTCTTTGCTTATGACTGAGCTTGTTTTTGTGCTGCTTGGCTGATCGGAGCAAGTGCCAGCTAATACCCGGAGGAAAGTGCCCATTTATTTTCTCCCTCCTCATTCCCAAATCCCAGATCTCCAGAACATGAGAACAAGAATATCTCTAGATATTTTAGGTGTGGGAAATAACAGAGATTTTTCCCATTATCTCCAGTCTCTCTCACACACACACACTATTCCAGTTGCATGAAAGAAGATGTATGAGTCCTGAGCGGAGCGCACAGCACAAAGCCCAGAGGTCCGGTACCGCGCGCCCGGCCCTCACTGCTCCTCCCGCTAGCTCCTATTAGCCGCGCTGCCCCTGAAGCGTCAGCACGGCTCGAACAGCCAGTGCCAAGGGTAAGCACCCAGCGCTGTGTAAACACACCAGGCCCGACTAGCACTCAGGAATGCCTTATATAAAGTCACATAAAGGCCCACAGGGGGAAGTGGGTGGGTGTGTCGCCTGACCGTCTGCAACTGGCCACCATTTCCTTCACTCACGAGAGGACGTCATGGAACACGATCTGCTGCCTTCAGTGTTTAAACAACCGAATATGCTGAAATGGTAGATCACAGATAACTACGCGCCTGATATTTTCACTGGGAGCGTTTTCATAAAGAACATCAACAGACGGTGTTTGCCAAACTGATTTAAATCGGCGACTGCTTAGTTTGCCGTGCAGCTCGACAGAGAAATTGACAGCTGAAAATTAGATCAAATTAGAGAGTTTTGGCCCATTTCCTTGCAGGACCGAGCCCAGACGACGTCACTGGTGGAAAAGGGTACAGCACGAGCAGCAGCAGATTGCAAATGAGAACGTATTGCAATACCTGGGCTTTTACTACTTTAAAGACAGACTGTTTTCAGTGTGCAGACAACAGTGTTACTCAGCTAAGTAAAATATGCATGACAGCGTAAAAAACACTGATGTAAAAGCAACTCATGCCTGAAATTATATACAGTACAGGTTGTCTCTTTGCGTCCTGTGAGAGATTTTAAATTGCATGAAAACACTGGTAATTTACTTACTTCATGCACACATAAGTGTATTATACTCTATATTTATAGATCAAGAAAGTGTTTCACAATACAACTCAGAGCAGCCTTAATCTAATAAAGTCAGTGAAGCAGTGTAAAACAATTTACAGGCATAGGACAAAAGCATCTGAGTGTGTGTGAGAGGTTTCTTTCCCTACCAGCTTCCCTACTGGTTTCTCTTTGCTCCGTGTTTAAATATTTAACTTCATAAAGGCCTAGCATTATCACCAAGACGACTCCGTAATTGTAGTTCGGTCATATATATTAGATGGTGGTGTCGTTTTAGTAACGTTACAGCCCAGAATGTCAGCTGTAATCCGTGTAGACGTAGAGGGCAGGAAAGGTGGGGGGGAGATAAAAACGCTAAAACTGATTTGGTGAGACGTTTTTATGCTGCTGGTTCCTGCTTTGTTTTTGGCACAGAGCGGGAAAAAGACAGAAAGGTGCTTTGGCAGCGCATTAGAAAAGCTAACACAGGTGAAGCCACAGTGTGCGTTTTCTTCCTGTTAACGTCACGCATTGAACAAGCGCTCTCAGTCAGCAAACAGTTAGCATCCAACACCAACTGGTGAGTTTATTGGAGCTTTAATTTATCAGCTTCCTGCAGTTTGTTATCATTCTAGCGCGTGCGCTAATTTTCAGGTCCACACAGAGATGCTAGATCTGAGCTATATGTCTGATTTTTAAAGGAGGCGATGTGCCGAGCGCTCCTTACAGCATCTTCTTCTCTCGGAGAAAAAAGGAAGCACTCGGTCCCCGAAGGCCCTGTCATTTATGGGACGCCCAACAGGAGAACGGTGTTCCCAACACAACCTCACGCAGCAGATGTTTGCCCCGGTACAATCTGTACAAACGTCGCATTGAATTCATTGCCATGTCCTCAGCTCAGCAGCCAGAACCTCGGGGATGAGTGTGATTATAAATACTTAGGTTGAAACACTAATTAAACCAGCAGCAAACTACAGGAGCCTGGTCCAGTTGGCAGCAGCTGTCGGCGGTGTGACAGAACAGCTTCCGCGTTTGGTAAATGATATAACTTGTTTAGGCAGTGAAATCGCTGCCGGCTGATGGAAGCTCAACCAGCACGTATTGATGTTCTTTTAACAGACCACAGGCAATTTAGCGCAGCTGAGTGTAGGCAAAATCTTTTTTCAGCCTAATAGACGGAGCCCAGAGAGCCAGAGCTCCTGTGTAATTGAGTTCTTTGGTAGGCTTCATGTTGTGAGTTTTGTTTTTGTTTTTTTAGGGGAGGGGAGACTAGCTTATCAGCAGAACACGCAGGATCGACCCTCCAGCAAAAAAGGCACTGTTGCCATCCAATCTGCTTTCACTGGCCAAATCGCTTACAGCAGGAAAAACACGAGTGCTGATTCTTCAGCATGTGCATCCCTGACCTGTGAAAGCAGAGCTTATTCAGTCATTCTCCGGCAGAAAGGCGCTGCGCAGCAGGGAACGGCTGTCTATTTAGCCGCCTTTCACATGCACCCCGCTCCACCAGCCAAGATCTTTTCACTATTCAGTCTTTCTTCGTTTTTGAGGCATCGCTATGGTGTAGGTGTGTTTTTGAATTCATCACATACTGTACATGTGCCTAGTAGCTTAAATATTTGGCCTTGTAATTTAGTTTCACACAACACAAACACAAATAAATGACGTAAGGAGGGAAAGTGTAGTTTGGTAACTCTAAGCACTAATAGTTTTTATTCCACCTGACATAACGATGTTTTATTTATTATTGGAAATTTGTAAATCCAGAACTAGACTCTGGTGTCACTGGCTGCATATAATATAAAAAGTTTGGAAGCGCACATTTCTGTCATCTTTACCATTTCAGCAACTTTAATAAAAATCCTGATAATTCCTAAAATAAACTTTCACTGAAACATATTAAATGGGACGCACAAACCCACTGAAGCACATACACGTTTATAAAGTTACGCCCTCCAGTTCATTCATGGTGAGGATGATGGCGAAGTCGCGCACGCTCCAGACAGTCTGTCATGGGCGACGGAAGAGTTGGGAGTCCACAGGTCCAGCTCATGTATAATTAAGCCCTGGCTTGATTTAGCTCAAAAATACTTCCCCTTTCACCTTACTGAAATGAAGCAGGAAGCAGTCCTCCCTGCTCTGACTGCAGGCTGTGGAGGAAGCAGGAGTAGCGCAGGTTCATGCTGCACTAATGGTTGTTTACACAACTCGCTGTCAGCCACCAGAACCTAGAAATCACACGCTCCCAGCCCTCTCTGCTCCCCGACCGCCTTAAATTTTTAGCAGAGATTTTTATTTGCTGTGAGATTTTCAGGACTGGTTTGTGGTTGGGATTCAGTGTTGATTGTCCATTGTTCTCCGCTGCTGGCTTTCTTTTTTTTTTTTTCTTTTTTTTTATATTCCTCCCTCTCGACTCTCCTCGGCACTCAGCCCTCCCCCTCCTCGGCTCTCCCCTGTTCTCTCCTCCTTCCCCTGCTCTTGCCAATAACGGCCTTAACCGTTTGGCTTCATGTCAAAGCAGAGGCCTTTTGTGGCTCTGTCACAAATCTGCCAGGAAAAACAGAAACCATCTGTTCAGGCCTGGGCCTGAGAGGAGATGAGGGTGTAAATACACGAGTTTAGCCCTCGCCCTCAGCTCTACCCGTGTACATACGACCACCGAGCTCACCCTCAACCAGCGCTCCCACCCACAATTACACTGCAGCCTAAAGTGGTTAACCCTTTCAGTCAAAATCTGGCCTCAGGAGGAATTTTCCTAATTTCGTCACCTGCTAACCTCTGTTAGCAGCTGTTTGTGAGAATAATATTACAGTAAGGTTAAAATACAAAAGTCACACATCTCTATATGCATGCTTTATGAACTCGAACTGCAAGTATTTAATTTAAAGCGATAACACAACAATCACTATGAACATATTTTTTTAAATAACTGCACATCTTTATGTAGATGACCATTTTAAGTGGCAGTAACTGGAACGGAAGGCCTGAGCGCCCTGATATGAGGGTAAGCCCTTCCCTTGCTGGATAATCCACCGGCCAGAAAGCTCCTGCAGATGGAAGCAGCCTAAAAGGCCTAATAATACTGAGCTTATGTTGTCACTATCTCATGTTCTGCAAAGCAGCAGCAGCACACTCTGTGCCGCTCTGCAGCGATTTAGTGGACTAGGGAGAAAATTATGCTGCAGAAGCCTTGGGACTATGTAAATTTGTCTTTCAGCTGTTTTAGATGCAGGTTTGTTTAGTTGTTTCTTTTATGGACGTGTTAATTTTATGAAGGGAGGGTAAAAAGACATGGCATCAGTAGGTAAAACACAAACCTGCTTCCACAACGGCCAAACGGGGAGAATAAACTGCGAGGTAACTGGAGTTAAATTGTTGCTGCGGGCATGTGGCAGCATGATAAAGTGGCTCTGATGCAGAAAAGTCTTCAGTCGGTGTGAGAGACGGGACTTGCACAACTTCAGAGGACCCAAATCTGCCAGTCTCACTGTGACACAAATGTATTGCACAAAGCTTCTCTCACGTGCAGCATGTTCACATCGGGCTGTTTCTCTGCACAACACGTTCACTGTGCTCACAGTCCTTCCTTTATCAGTGCGACTGCACTACACAGTTATTACAGTTCTATGATTTTGAACGAGCTTTTATTATTATTTTTATCTTATTGTGATTTTTTGCTTTGGATTCAGTCTTGTTTCAGTTAGTTTTCAGTGCAGGTTTGCTCATTTCAGTTTGAAGCGAGATTTAGGAAAGTCACCACAGATATAATTTTTTTTAAAAACAGGAGATTTTGAAAGCAGTTGGGTCTTAATGGGCATGTATATCAAAGCCTCATAAGGCAAGTTTTGGCAAAAAACAAAAAAACACCGAACACTAAAATAGAGGATATTTTCTCTTTATTTTCATTTTACTTTGAATTAGGTTCACAAACATCTATTTTTTTAAATTAATTTTAGTTACCTGCAACCTAGTTTTAGTTAACCATGCTATACTTGCTGCATTCAAATTTAAAATCTGTGTATATTACAGATATTATTGTACTTGCAGACATTTCCACTGCATCATGTTTGTACTGAATTTGCTGAACTGTGCTTCTTGTTTTCCTCTTTTTTATTTACATCTAGCTGCACCAGCTCATCACCACACCTGTTAATTCCCATTCAAAAGCCCAAGTTAATGTTTTCATTAGCCCCTGCCTAATGTAATGGTACTTGACACAGCGTAAGTGATGGAGAGGCAGGGTGACCTTTCCTTGTGTCTGCCAAGCTGTTGCTGAGGCCGTGTACTTGTCAACCCGCAGCGAGGAGGCAGAGAGGCACTGCTGAGAACAGTCATTAAGCACAGAGCAAAGCCAGCGCTCGGCACCACTCGACACTTTTGATCTGCACATTTCAATTAGATTTCACATCAGGATGCCCGCCTTCTTTCAGTTAGCACCTGCGCCCTTCCCCTTCCCAACTGGCCGGCAGGTTGAAGTGGGAGGCGCACAAGAAAGGCCACAAAGTTCTGTCGCCGACTGAAACGGCAGCAGCATAATGTAGCTTTTAGGTGATAATATAATCAGTATCCATGTGCTTTTTTATCTTAAAGCCCACTGCATGTGGAATCCATCCACCGATCCAGATAAAGCCTCCACCAGCTCGTGGAGTTTGAGACTGTTTTCGGCTGGAGCAGTGGTTTTCCTGGTGTAGTGCCTTAATTTACCCTGAAATGTGAGGAGGTTTCATTGAGCTCAGACACCCTCAGTAAATGTTTCCAGCACTGCTTTGCCTGATAAGGTGGAGTCCTGCAGGCTCTGGTAGATATGAATTTCCCCTAAGAGTTACATTGTATGTGTACGTGTGCTACGGTTCACTGGCTTTATTTTCTGTTTTTGTTAAAGTGGGGGGGGGGCTTTTCTTAGCCATTTCGTCAAATCACTTCCTCCTTTTTCATGTTTCGCTACATTTTGATAGACGATATCAGGCTGTTGCTGAAAAGCTGTTAATGCATTTCAGAGAGCAATGGTGTGACTAATTAATGTCAAGTTTCTCGGCTGAAGCAGAGAAGGAAAACAATCAATAGCCATTAAACCCTGGGAGCTTTGTTGAACAGCGGTTTAACAGACCTCAGACAGTGGCTGGGTGCCCTCGGGGCTTTTGAGATTACAGGTGACTTACTGCTCACCCTGCGAACACACACTGCACCTTTTGTAAATTTGTTATAGAGTCAGTGGAAGATGACTAACAAGTGAGAGTTCACAGCGAGGCAGAAAAGGCGAAGCTTTACAGGAAACTACATAATTGCCACTGACTCCTGTTGCCAATTTTTAGGGCTTGTGTTTCACGAGTGTGGCAGGAAAGCTGCAGTTAATATGCACAGGCTGCCTCAGCAAAGTGCTTTCTGATCCATGATTGCATGTGTTAATGTTTCAGTTGGGTATTGATTTCCTGACGGCCTTTTGTACACTGGATTTATCCGCCCCGCTCGCTGGCAAGCGCACCCCTCCGAATGTTTGATTAAAGTTCAATTGACTCTTCCAGTGAAGGGGCGAGGAGCCATTTCACTCCCTATTTGTAGCGCCAAAGCTCTGCCTGACATGTTCTTTTGTTCCCATTCAACCTCCTGCCACCCAGGCAGCCACCATTGCACTGATCCTAATATCCCTGCATTCAGTGAGTCTCCTGGCCTAATCCTGGGACAGACAGGGCCGCAGCACAAACATGCCCAGCCAGCTACAAATCCTGGCATGGACTGACCCGCTCCATGGCCTTTCACTGTGAAACGCAGCACCCACTGCTAATGTGTATCCTCCACAGATTTCATTCCACCTAACTGCAGATATTTCACCTCTTTGCAATCAAAAGTGAATCCTCCCCCTTATCACAGACGCTCGTTTGCGTTCCTAAGATGTTACTGCCTGTTTTAACGGTGCCTGTTTATCGTCTTCTTTCAGGGAGAGCTGATTACTTTCTACTACTACTGGAAGAAGACTCCCGAGGCAGCCAGTTGTCGAGCCCATCGCCGACACCGTCGTCAGCCCGTCTTCCGCCGCATCAAGACACGGACCGCCTCAACTCCCGTCAACACTCCTTCACGCCCGCCGTCGAGCGAGTTCTGTACGTAGCTTTGACCTCATGGTGGCAGCTGGGAGGAGAGGGGACGGCCTGGCCTGACATATACTCGTTGGTCGGTAAAGAGATGTATGTGACGTATCTTTCTCCTTCCTTCTTCTCTCTAGTGGACCTCAGCTCAGCCAGTGAAGATGACTTTGACAGTGAAGACAGCGAACAGGAGCTAAAAGGCTACGCCTGCCGCCACTGCTTCACGACCAGTAAGATGCCACATCTCTTTTTCGTGCGCACACCCGTCATACGGACTTGCTTGGCTATTCCCGTCCTGTCTTGGGATCGGTGTGAGCCCACCCAACACAGCACTGTGTGACAGATGGGCATCAGAGTATGTCAGGACTAATTTGATCAAATCAGACATGAACCCACAGCTCGTTCACTCTCTCCACCTCATTATCCTTCCCCCTCTTTGCACACAGCTGGCTCCCATCTGAACACGCTGACGTTTCTGCCATCCAAGCAAGGGTGGCTAATAACTTGGCTTTATAGTGTTAACCCATCAAGCTCTTATTAGTAGATTCCTGGGAGTTTAGATGGGGTATAAAACAGGGGACAGATTAGACATTGATGTAGCGCCTGTAGTACAAACATTTTTATTCTGTTAAATATTGAAAGGAGAAATTATTTTAAGGTGGTGCCTGTATTCCTCAGTATTACTGTAGGTTGTCAGATGATTTCTGTGTGATGTTTGTGCCTCTCTGCTTGTGTGACTGTGTTATTTCACAACTGTAAATGGCTTTCCTCAGCCTCCAAGGACTGGCACCACGGGGGCCGCGAGAACATCTTGCTGTGCACCGACTGCCGCATTCACTTCAAGAAGTACGGTGAGCTGCCCCCCATCGAGAAGCCCGTGGACCCTCCGCCATTTATGTTCAAACCTGTCAAAGAGGAAGAGGATGGACTCAGCGGGAAGCATAGCATGAGGACCCGACGGAACCGAGGCTCGGTGCGCCAGCTATCCTTCTATTTTCACTTTTAGGAACCATACCCTGAGATTTATCCCTGGAGCAATCCAGACCCAGATTACAAAGAAATAAGCTCATAATCTCAAACCAAATGTTTATTTTATTCAAAGTTTGAAAGTTTCATAAATTGGGCTAAATTTTCCTTCGTTCAAACTACAGATGTCGACGCTACGTAGTGGTCGTAAGAAGCAGACAGCCAGTCCTGATGGCCGAGCCTCACCCACCAACGAGGATTTGCGCTCTAGCGGACGTACTTCACCCAGCGCAGCCAGCACTGACAGCACCGACAGCAAGACGGACTCCATGAAGAAGCCAAGCAAAGTAAGTACAGCAGAGAGTCGTCGACACTTCGTTTTTCATTGCATGCACCTCTGTAATGTATACTTTCTGTGTCTCTGCTGCTTTTGCTCCACAGAAGATTAAAGAGGAAGCTCCTTCACCTATGAAGAGTGCCAAACGGCAACGGGAGAAAGGAGCTTCAGACACAGAGGAGCCCGAGAGGGCCAACGCCAAAAAGTCCAAGACACAAGTGAGTCTGCAATCATTGCTTGTGTTATCTCTATGTGTTAAGGGGAGGTTGTGTAGTTGGTGTGCTGATGCGCTTCCTTTCTTCTCCTCTGTCCCCACAGGAGCTGAGTCGGCCAGACTCGCCTTCAGAATGCGAGGGAGAAGGAGAGGGAGAGGGCGAGAGCTCTGATGGGCGGAGCATCAACGAGGAGCTCAGTAGTGATCCTAAAGACATTGATCAGGACAACCGGAGCTCTTCGCCGAGCATCCCGAGCCCCCGTGACAATGAGAGCGACTCGGACTCCTCTGCCCAACAGCAGCAGCTCCTGCAGAGCCAGCACCCTCCAGTCATCCAGTGTCAACCGGGCACCTCAGCCGCCTCTTCGGCGCCCCCTCCACCCACAACCTCAGCCCCCTCACTGCCTCCGCAGGTTTCCCCTGCTGCAGCCTCCAGCTCTCTACCTCCCCAGCCTCTGCCCCAGGCAAGCCCAATGTCTCTAATCCAGTCAGGAGCATCCCTGCACCCTCAAAGGCTTCCCTCTCCACACTCACCTATGACTCAGGCTCCGCCTCCTGGCCCCCCAGTTCCACCTCAGTCATTACCCAGCCCGCATCACGGACCCATGCCTCCCATGCCTCACCCGTTGCAGCCGGGCCCCTCACACATGGCTCACCCTCACTCCATCACCCCTCAGGGATTCCCTGTGGGTCCGTCTCAGGTCCCACCCCCGCCGGTCTCTGGCCAATCACAACAGAGGGCTCACACACCTCCTTCTCAGTCCCAGTCATCTTCTCAGAGCGGCGCCCAGCCTCCCAGAGAGCAGCCCTTGCCCCCCGCACCAATATCTATGCCTCACATCAAGCCCCCGCCAACTACACCCATCCCTCAGATACCCAACCCACAGTCTCACAAACACCCGCCCCACGTATCGGCACCTCCATTCCCTCAGATGCCTTCAAACCTGCCTCCGCCTCCTGCCCTCAAGCCTCTCAGCTCTTTATCCAACCATCATCCTCCATCAGCACATCCGCCTCCCCTCCAGCTCATGCCTCAAGGCCAGCAGCTTCAGCCTCCCCCAGCCCAGCCTCCAGTTCTCACCCAGTCACAGAGCCTCCCACCTTCAGCCAGCCACCAACCTCCTCCAGCTCCTCCTCTGCCACCCTCCGCAGCAGCCTCACATCCCAGCGGGCCACCTCAGCAACCTTTCTCATCTCATCCTTTCAGTACAGTTCTACCTCCAACCGCCCCTCCCCCATCATCATCAAACTCTATGCCTGGCTTGCAGCCTCCTCCTGCTTCGGCTCCATCCTCTTCCATCTCCATGCCACTTCCTGCCTCTGTCACCTGTGCTGGCCCGGGCACAGCGGTCCCACCCATGCACATCAAAGAGGAGCCTTTGGACGAGTCGGAAGAGCCAGAGAGCCCACCACCCCCGCAGAGAAGCCCCTCCCCGGAGCCTACAGTCGTCAATACGCCCAGCCATGCCAGCCAATCAGCACGGTACGTCTGTCAACAGCCTGAGCAAACAACAGAACATCAAACATCTGTAATAGAGAAAAACATACACCTGCACAGGTGGCTGTTTATCAGTAGTCTGCCTGTTCTCTTATCAGGGGATACTGATTAGCTCTCCAACAAAGAGTCGCCCTCAGGTTTTAAGTCTTTAATGTAGGCAACAAATCAAATGTCCTCTGCAAAACAGGCATCCAAGGCCACAATTAGCCTCGAGCTCTGAGTAGCTGATGGTTCGGAATTATCAGAGATGGAAAACAGGGAGATTAATTACAGTGAGATGGAAGTGTATGAAGCATCCGAATATGAGTACGTGTTGCTGCCTCCCGCTTAAGTGACTCTCAGACTGCCAATGAATAGCAATGAGGAGTTTATTATAGGCTCAGTGTGGCAGGAAAAGTGAATGCTGAGGGAGTTTGTTTGCTTTTAAAACATGGACTAATGCAAGCTAATACCAGCGGTGTTTTCATCATTTATCCTGCCATTCAGTACACAAAATTTCACATGGATATGATGATCGAACCTTCTTTTATCTGTTTTTTTTTTTTCTCCAAACAAATGTCAGTTTATGAACGTAAGACATTATTTTAACGTTTTTATTTTTGTGTCTGTGTTTCTACAGTTTCTACAAGCACTTGGACCGGGGGTACAACTCGTGTGCTCGGACCGATTTCTACTTCACGCCCCTGGCTTCATCTAAACTGGCCAAGAAGAGAGAGGAAGCTCTGGAGAAAGCCAAACGGGAAGCAGAACAGAAAGCCAGGGAGGAAAAAGAGAGAGAGAGGGAAAGGGAAAAGGAGCGAGAAAGAGAGCGGGAACGAGAAAAGGAAGCTGAGAGAGCCGCGGTGAGTGGTGTAATCGTTCTTTTACTTTTATGTTTCGCTAAAAAAAATAAAAGAAAAACTAAGCATGATGTTCCTCTCCTCACAGAAAGCCTCCAGTTCATCTCACGAAGGCAGAATGAGCGAACCTCAGATGGCCGGCCCCGCCCACATGCGTCCACCCTTCGACGGTCCCCCCACTACTATTGCAGCTGTGCCTCCCTACATTGGCCCCGACACACCCGCCCTACGCACCCTCAGCGAGTATGCCCGGCCCCACGTCATGTCCCCCACCAATCGAAACCACCCGTTCTTTGTGTCACTCAACCCCGCAGACCCGCTGCTAGCTTATCACATGCCCAGCTTATACAACGCTGACCCAGCCATGCGGGAGCGTGAGCTTCGAGAGCGGGAGATGCGCGAGAGAGAGATTCGCGAGAGGGAGCTGAGGGAAAGGATGAAACCTGGTTTTGAGGTCAAGCCTCCAGAGATGGACACACTCCACCCTTCCACAAACCCCATGGAACACTTTGCTCGCCACGGGGCCATCACGTTGCCCCCCATGGCCGGCCCTCACCCTTTCGCCTCCTTTCATCCCAGCCTGAACCCATTAGAGCGTGAGCGGCTAGCCCTTGCGGGGCCCCAGCTGCGCCCAGAAATGAGCTACCCAGAGAGGCTGGCAGCAGAGAGACTCCATGCAGAGAGGATGGCAACAGTGGCCAATGACCCCATCGCTCGTCTGCAGATGTTCAATGTCACGCCGCACCACCACCAGCACTCACATATTCACTCCCATCTCCACCTCCACCAGCAAGATCCCTTACACCAAGGTAAACGAAAGCCCTGCTTAATTCATAAATGCATGACAGTGAAATTAAAAACTGAATTTAGAAGCTTTAATTACAGATGACAACTTAAGAATGAACAGATACTTTATTTAATTAAATGTTTGAAGACCAAAAGTAGAGCTCTGAGTCACTCACAGGTCAATTTAACCTGTTATCACTCTGAAATAAATATATATATTGTACTTTTGGTTATGTAGTATTAATTACTACATTTTGATTAAACATAACAGATGCCAGACTGCTTTTTGAGTTCAGGAAGCATGTTGCTGTTTGAAATTTTGCCATTTATCTGCACTTATTCTGATGTTGTTTAAAAGGAAAGAGATGTTTTGACAAAGTTGTTGTAGTGAAATGAACAAATGATATATTGTATTAAGTATCGAAGTGAGCATATCTGTCATGGTATTGTATCATTTATATATTTATATTTATATGCATATATATATATATAATATGTACTGCACTAATTTGTTACTCCTCTCATTAAAGACTGCACAAAGGGACTTGTGAGCAGTGTCACTGTAATGTAGTGTACATCACTGACAGGCTGGATGACAGGAAGTCATATCTTCCTTAAGTTACTGACAGAGCCAACAGATTTTTTACAATGGATAAATATAGTAACGTAGTCCCTGCAGTCTTTAAATCAACCTTGAGGAGTAACGTTACATTAAGCTGAGTATCATTAATGTCTGTAGCATGCTGTGTGATACACTGTCTTGTAATGAGTGTACCCTGAACCTAAGACTCTGACTCCCAGAAGGTGGTGGTGAATGTCTTGTGTGTCCTCCAGGTTCCGGCGGCCATCCGCTGGCAGTAGATCCCCTGGCCGGACCTCACCTGGCACGCTTCCCTTACCCACCCGGCGCCATCCCCAACCCTCTCCTGGGCCAGCCGCCGCACGAACACGAGATGCTGCGACACCCAGTTTTTGGTAGGTTCTCAGCCAGTGTTGACTCTCCTTACTCACATCTATCAGTCTGAGCTTCTATCATCTATCAGTCTGAGCCTGATCACATTTTCTGTGTTGGGTCTTCCTCCAGGTACTCCATACCCACGGGACCTACCAGCAGGTATTCCACCAACTATGTCGGCGGCCCACCAGCTGCAGGCCATGCACGCCCAGTCGGCCGAGCTCCAGAGGCTAGCCATGGAGCAGCAGTGGCTGCACGGGCACCATCACATGCACGGAGGACCACTGCCTGGCCAGGAGGACTACTACAGGTAGTTTATCCTAATTATTGTTGTAGTCGGGTTTTCTGAGCATGCTTGATTATGTTGTTTTTTTTATTTTTAAATTTTAAAACATTGCTCTTTTGTCCTTTCAGTCGACTGAAGAAGGAGAGCGACAAGCAGCTGTAACGAGCCGAGGGAGGCGGCGACTGACAGGTGCAGGACACAGGAAGTTGTTACAGAGCAGTTTCAAAGAGGCTCTTCAGGATCCTCTGAACACTTTCAGTTTTGACGAATAGAAAAAGCCAAGTGAATCGTCTGAGATTTCTCCTGAGGTTTTTGTTTTTGTTCATGTCGAGGACCTTTTTTCTTTTCTTTTCTTTTAATTATTATTTTCCAAGACATTGACTTTCTTTGGTATATAGCCAGTAGTGACAACATCCTCAAGACTCCTGCATGACAAGCTTCCCTGATGTTTTTTTTTTTTTTGTAGGTGCTAGAACAAGACACTGTGCTTATTACAAAACGAACAAACAAAAAAAAAAAAGAAAAAGCCGAGACCGGTCAGACCATTTATGGAAAAATAACAAGTGCTATCTTAAATTCAACATTTATTTTAATACATTGTTGGAGGTTTTTCATAATTTTAAGAAAAGCTACAGCATGGCGTTTTTGAGTCTGTAAATAGTATATATAAACATATAATTATTATTATAATTATTATTATTACTAGGTGTGGACTCCAAACCAAGTCGTTTCAACCTCCAGTTATAATTGTTTCAAAGCATTATCCCTTGTTTCAGAGGGGAGCACCATGGCATTATACGAGCAGTTTCTGAGAGTTACGGTTGCGTTGTGACGTTCCTCTGACATCACTGTGTTTAGATTTAGCCACACATGCACTATGTAAACCATCAGCCTGTCACGCCAACCACATCCATTCATCGCCTTCCACGCTCGGCCGGTTGAACTCGGCGTGTGGACTTTTAACGATGGGGGAAGCACTTGAAGAAGTGACACCGTGATCGCTGACGCTTCTGTGGAGTGCACGCTGAGGATGGAGGGAAGATATTAAAAAAAAAAAGAGTTTGCACTGAAGGAGCGTCCTCGAGCTCAGCTGATTTTATCCATTTTGATTGCAATTACTATTTAAGAGCCAAATGAATCCTCTACTTTTAGGATTTCTTTTTAAAGGATATGTGGTCACCTGAAACATCGGCTGAATGAAAGAAATTTGGGGGGGAAATTGCTTTGATTTTTTTTAAACAGTGTTCACTGTAACAGGAGCCTGACAGGACTGTTTTTGTTGTGTGAATGAGTGGCTGTGAGTCTGTTCTAGTTTGTCTTCTAACTGTCCCCCCCCACCTTTTTTTTTCTTTTCTTTTCTTTCCCCCGTCCCGTCATCGGTGTTTGTTGCAGGGCTCAAATCCGACTGAGCCATCCTCCACCTAGGCTGTAATAATGTTCACTGTGACACTAGAGGGGGGCCTGCCGACACTTGACCTCCAGGAGGTGTAAGGTCGATGATGTTTGTGCGTGCCTGTGTGTGTGTGTGTGTGTGTGTGTATTTTTTTTGTACGCCTTGGTTCCTTAGGGATACACATGGCCTTCTGAGGCCTCAGAGGTGGTGTTTGTTTCTGCCACTGACTGTTACATGTAGTATTGACCCGTCATTACCAGTGCACACGAGCCCACGTTTTTCTTTCTGTAGCCCATGACACAGATTCTGCAATTATTCCATGCACTAAGACTGTTTGACCGTCATGGACGATTTGATTTGATTTTATAATTGTATAATTTTATTTTAACTAATCAAAGAAACTGTACTTGCATTTAAAAGCGACCATATCGTCCTATGGAGCACTATCATTTACCACACTCGCGTCTCTGAAGCTCTGACAACAGCCTGTCCACTCTTGTCTTTCCATCGCCCACCAATTTATCCCTCGCCCCACCATGTCTCCTCACAACCTACTCTTCTTCAGCATCATCATCATCATCTCCTCCTGACGATCCCTCACCTCCTACTCCCTCTTTTTTGTGTCTCCGAAGCCTTTGATGTTAAGTGTTGTCAATGGTTTAGCTTCTTGTTTCAAAGCGGCAATAGCAGAATGTAAATTCTGACTGCTAAGATTTATATATATACTGGTATCTTGAAGCTTATTGTATATATGAGTAGTCACCATGGGATGACACAATGTAAACAAAAAAGTAGAAATAATAAGAAAAATTGTGAGTCCTGTGTTCTCTCCATTTGAGTATTTTGTAATTTTTTTGAAAAATTTGTGGAATTAAAATAAAAAACAACTACGTTACACCACAAGACCGCCTCATCTTTTTTCTTCTTCACGCCTTCTTTTTCCGTCTGCACGTGGTAGGTTCATTTTATTTATTTATTTTTCTGGAAGCGACGCGCTAAATCCAAGCGGGAAAGAGACAGTAATCCTGTTTTAAGGGTAAACTATTTGGATTATTGCTCAGAAAGAAAGCAGGAAGTGCTCTTAATTCCTCTTGTTTTTGTTTTTGTGTGTGTGTGTTATTGAAATGTAATTCTGCAGCTGAGCAGACGGGCTTGTTGCCGGGTCTGTTTCTACATTTGCTCCTGAATAAAGGATTTTTTTCTTCTTCTTGACAAGCTTTAAAAAAAAAAAGGATACCTGCTTCTTACATTTCTTCACCCTTCCGTTTTCTCAGCTTCAGAAATACTGAGCTTTAATAGATCACCTCAGCAGCAGGTAGTGAATCTCAGAGCTGAATATTGCACTGCTTTGGTATAATAACATCAAAGCCGGGCTAAGCCAGAAGGAACACCTACTCAGGCTCAGATGCCTTGCTATCAGCGGGGCAGGGCTGTCATTTCATCCTGTGTGTGGGGAGTGATAGACCGGCAATCTGTGATGGTGTGCCGCAGCGACGGGTGTCATTTTGAGAGGGAGCTATTATTCTACTGCTGCTCTCTGAAATGATGCCCTGTCCTCGGGAAAATCGAGGTTCCTTGGATGCTGTATCCCCGGGCTGTCATGTGAGGAGGTGCTGCTTGTTGTTGTTGCCGGCTCGCCTCACCTCCCCATAAAACACAAGACGTCAGAGCCGAGCAGCACTGGCTGGTTGAATTATTCATCCCCCCCCTCCTCCTCCCTCTCCTCTTCCTCCTCCACACCGGCGATGGAGCGACTGTGACTTGTGTCAGCTCAAATCCTTCTCATAATGCTGTGTGTACCCCTCAGGCAGGCAGAGAAGGGGGATAGGCGGTCTTGAAACATTTTTGCTCTTTCACTCTGAGCAGCAATATGTCTTGTGCTGTTCTCGCGCTGTTCTGTCTGTTGCAGCAGGTCGTGGACACAGAGCCTCCTCATCTCCACCGTCCTGCTGTCTTTTTCTTTCGCTCCACTGGGCCTGCCTGCTGCAGAGTGTGATGCTCGGCGGCGGAGACGAATCTCCGCGCCATTAGAGCATTCAGTCGGAAGGTAGCTGGGTTCATTCTTCCGGGTAGCTTTGCAGCAGCCCTGAAGCTGAGCAGGACCCTGTTTATCTCAAAATGAGCTGTGGTGACATAACAAAAAAACCCTTACAGCTCTGCTCCTGCTTTTATCCCTCATCCACTATCTGGAATACATAGACAGGAGACATGATACTGTAGATTTTCTCTGTCTGCTATCCAGCCAAGTGCCATCACTCTCTTTAGTTTTATGTGCATGTTCCAGAAGTTCCTCATTCACATTTGGGCCACCATTCAGTCATTTCAAAAACAGGCAACCTGTAGTTAGGATAAAAAATAAATAAAGCCTCGATAAATTGAGCACAGCTGTAGGAATTTGATGCATGCAAATAATAATTAAACCCATCTAAAATGCAAATGAGGTAATCTCCAACAGACATATGTGTAATTTATTTTCAGTCCTGCATTTCGGAACTAGCTGAATATTTATGTGGATGGCACGGCCAAAAGGTTAAAGCGAGGTTTTATGATAAAACTCCAGAATGAAAACTCTGCAGCAGAAACTTCTGCCTCTCCTGCAAAGCTGATGTGAGGGGAGGAAAAATGAGACTGATTTTATAAAGTCCCTTTTTTAACGTACCTTTGATTTATCATTTAATCCCCCCCCAAAAAAAACCCAAAAAAACCAGCTGACTATTGTTGATTATGGGAGTCTGTTTTTATTTGAAACAAATGGTTGGATGTGCAGCACGTTGGTCTGGTGGGTAACTCTATTTAACCTCATCATCAAGGAGGTCCACCGTCCAGCTGGGGCCTTCCTGTGTGGAGTTCCCTGTGGGTGCTCTGGCTTCCTCCTATGGTGCATACATGCTTGTTAGGTTAATTAGTGATTCTAAATGAGGTGTGAATGTGAGCCTGAGTGGTCGGTCGTCTGTTGGCCCTGTGATGGACTGGCGTTCAGTCCATGGTGTACCCCGCTCCTCACCCTATGACAGCTGGGACAAGCGCCAGCCCCAATGTGACCCTGAAAGGGGAGGATAGTTTGATAATGGGTTTACATAAAAGTGCAAATATAGTTTATTTCTTTATGTTAACCAATGATGCTCTTGATCCCAAAGTTTAGAGGGAGATCAGAACTCTGACTGGATGAGAATATCTCACCGACTGAAGCCGAAAACCTCCCTGGCTGCTTCAATGGCTGGTTTTTGGGGGGTTTTGGACGGTTGTGATGCTAAATAATGAAATGCTATCCAACTAATTTTGATGTATCTTTTCTAAATGGAAGCCCAATGTTGCTCCTGCAAGCTGTGAAGTCATCAGTGAACTCTTTCACTATCAGGACTACAACCTTGAGCTCATACATGAGGTAAATCACGTTGCAGCTCCTTTTTTTCCTGCTATAATTTTGATAAAAGGTGAACTCCGTGAAGATTTAAAAAGGAAAATTGTAGATTTAGAGCAGATTCCACGATCATCAGTTCAAACAATAATATATACAAGTCCAAATTATTCAGATTTGTCACCACATTGGTTCTTTTTCCATACTTCCGTAAACTGTCACCCTCAGACGGGAGGAAATTTGTTAGGATGTTAAAGATCAGCCCAGGAATCACCAAGGATGAATCCTGCCACGAACTGGAAAAGACCAGCGTCACTGTCCACAGTGAAGCCAACTGTATATCTGCTGACCAAGAAACAAGTTCCTGCACCAAAACCAACACCTTCAAGTTGGACTGAAATTTGCAGCTGTCTACATAGAAAAGCCAAATGCCTTCTGGAGGAAAATTTGAGCTATTCTGCAACAACGACAAGAGGTATGTTTGGAGGTGTGAAGGTGAGGCGTGCCAGCTGTCAAGCATGGTGGTGGTAGCACCATGATTTGTGCTGTTTTAATCAAAAGTAACATTTTAAATCCAAAACGTCTTCACATTTCCGACACACTGGGAAATAATCAGGGTGTTTCCTCCACCGCTGCTTCAGACTTCTATAGCTCACCTTTTTTTTGTGCAACTTTACTGCAGTTACTTTCCACATTAAAAATTCATACGACCCTCTCATAACAAGCCTGTGTTGCTTGTTAGGTCCACTCAGAGCAGCATCTAATTTATGATAAGAACAAAGGAGCTGTTCTGCACCATCCCAGGAGGATCCTGCAGGCCTGCATACCACAGCATCATAACCCCTGTCTTTTGTTAAGAGCTTGCTGCCGTTTTGACCAACTTTAACGTTCATTCGCCGTGCGTGTGTGTGTTTATCTTTGAGTATCTGTTTGCGTTGCTGCCTGCTGTGTGTTTGAGGCTCAGGCTGGAGCTCCCATGCTTCTAATGATATCCTGCCCTCACATTTGTGTCATAGCCGATCTGGATTCCCCCTTGTCTGCACCAGCGGATCAACCCACTGGCCCGGTTTGTGCATTCCTCGCTCGCCCCCAACACACACACACATAAACGCCCTCAGCAGGCCTCTGCGCTGACGCCTACCACAAACCTCACACAGACTGCCTCTCCTTCTCCCACACTCGTTCTCCCTTCTGTCTCTATTGTCTTGAGTTTTATTTCAAGGGAGCAGCCTGTAGCCAAAGTCGTAGGAACTCTTTGCTCAATAAAGCGTGCCAGGTTCGGGTCCTTGTTGGCAGGAGAGAGACAATGTTAAGCTCACACGCTAGACTTCCAGGCTCCTCTTTATTGTGTTGTCATAAAGCATGCAGCTGGCACATACTTAACGTTCAGTGGGACTCGGGGCTGCCGCAGCACACCGAGCCTCGGGTATTGCCCTTCCAGCCGTCCCCGTGCATGTTTCTTACTGTGGCGTCTGTACACTGTCAGAGTCGCAGAGACATGACATTTCAGCTCCTTCAGAGCAAAGCATTTCACTTCGCCATTCACCCAGTGGAAAACCTGGGAAAATAAGAGCCCTGCCGAGACTGCAGTCTACCAAAAATGTCCTCTACTGTCATCTCGGACTAGTGGGACAGTGCAGGGGATATTGGTTCTTCTGGCAGTGCACTCTGTCAAATTTATTTTTCAGATGAAAATAAAGACTTCAGGCTGTGATCTGATTTACTTCTCCTCTGCTTAAAGGGCACAGAAACCCAGAGTGAATTTAAGACACAGCCTGCATACTGCCATGTGGCTAACCCGAACCCTTTTAATGGGTTTCAAATCCCAGAGAACTCAAAAACAGATTCGTTTTAGTGCAGCATTTGTAAATAAATTCTTTTAGTCCTTAAACTAGAAAGTGCATAATAAACCCCGAACTGCTTTGATTCTGTGCAGGAGCAGCAGGTTAGTACATCAGTGCTTCTTGATGAACTGATTCTGCTGTTGTTGCCGGTCACAGGGTTTGTAACGCGTCCCTGCAGCCTCATCTTTGACATAAACACAGCAGTGTACTGTTACTATTCATAACAGATTATTCACACAGTTTTTAATCTGAATGCACAACTACAGAAGTGTGAATGCCACACGGCAGACACACCTTTATGCTACTAAGCAACAAACACAGATTACAGCTGGGGGAGGACGACAAAGCTTATATTCACTGTGCAAAACTCTTGAGCCACCCATTATTTTTTATATTTCACTAGAAAAATTGGACATGCACTCATTTTTTGTACTGTTACTATGGAAGAACAGCAAATAAGGCAAAAACAAAGTCTTGACAATCCTAACTTTCTTTTTTGCTCAATCCAGGTATGCTTTTACTGCATTATGCATTGTGCTTGGGATCATTTTCATGCTAAAAAAAAATGCATCCCAAACCACAACAGAGCCTCCACTGTGTTTTATCGATGGCTGTAGAAGAGATTTACACTCCATCAGACCTGTTGCTGCTGATTTTCAGTCCAGTTCTTGTGTAATTTGGCTCACCTCAGCCTTTTCTCT